AGTAGTCATCACACCACTCCTTCATGTCCCCACCTCATCTCTTTGTCCTAAAAACAGCCGCTCTACGCACCCCACTCTAGTGAGATTATCTATAACACAAGTAAAAAAAAAAATCACACAACATAATATATTTATCATAAGATATGCTCTTTTCCTAGACAAACACATCTTTTTTATTAAACAAAAAAGACCCCCTCCAATTAAACACTATCTTTTTTACTTCACCACCTTTCTTTATATAAACGCCAAGAGGGAAAACTCACCCCGTTTTCCCAGGCAAAAATCATCAAATTTAGGCAGTTGGGAACTCCGGTCACCACATATGAGCTGGTGCCTTTTCCGGGGGGGGGGGGGGGGGGGGGGGGGGGGCTGTGCTAAGGCAGGCGCAGGCAGATGCGGCTCTCAGCTGTAGTTCCTCGTCTCCTCTCTGGGGAGGGAGGGGCTGGAGACGCACACTCTGCTTAGGCATGGACGTGCACCTCCCAAGCCAGGTCTAGCACAGCACTGTCCAGCGAGGGGCTGACACCGGCGAGAAGCACCAGCTCATATGTGGATGACCCGCAGTTCCCCAACTTGCCTAAATTTGGGGTCCTTTCTGCTTGGAGCATCTGGGTCTGTAAGGACCAGGGTGTAGAGTTTACTTGAATCAAGGCCATCCCATGAAATACCAGTGGGCCGGTTCTTCACCTGTAGGAAGGGACCAGTTTGGAGTTAAAAGAAGTCAGAAATGCTCAAGTAACCAACCATCAAATTCCCAACAGAGTAGATTATTAATAAAAGCTACAGTGTATTGACTCTACTAAGCGCCAGGAATTGAAGTTTAATATACTCTTTATTTATTTTAGCCCCAACAGCAATACAAGGCTGGTAACCTAGCATGTTATTAACAGAAAGGATCGGGATTTCAACCCTGGTGCTGACAGGGTCCTCTTCTAACAACAACCTTACGCTGTCTGAAATGACCGGGTCTCCAGATTTGGTGACCAGGAGGTTACCTGGGCCTGCTAACGTGAAACCTGAATTAACTGGACATTTAAAAGTAAGTGCACAGAAAAGGAGAAAACCGAGGTGGCCAGATGTGGAGAGTCAGGAAAAGGGCAGGCTTCGAGATGAGCACTTCTTATTTCAAAACAATCAGGTGCCATCGATAGCAGCTGTATTCACACCAAGGCCCCAGAGCTTGGTGACTAACAGCTCGCCAGGGCCTTGGCACGCGGGTTTTCTGGTTTCTCCACTTCCAGGAGCCAGGACCTGGTCCCGCCTCGATCGAGGGCGTCAGAGGCCAAACAGTAAAACAAGGCCCGTTGCCCTCGAGCCTTCCCGCTGCAGGTCACGACCCGCTAACACAAAGGAGGCCGCGCTGGGCACTGACGATCACCAGTTACATAACGCGTCCTGTGTCCTCGGGTGGGGCCTCTGCTCCCCAAAACGAGACCTAAAATCCCCAGGCCCGAGGGGAGGCTCCCGAGGGGAGACGCGGGGGCGACCAAGGCCGACTCGTTTCGGGGCCCGGCCGCCTCCCCGCCCCGCCCCCCGCGGTCCCGGCCGTTTCCGGGCCAAGACCCGGCCTGTGCCTAGAAGTCCCGGGAAAGCGGAGCAATTGCTCCCGCAGGCCGCGCCATGCCGCCAGCGGGGGACTTCCCCTCCCCTGGGTAACCGCAGGCCTGCAGCGTGGGCGCCCGACCCCCTGCCCTCAGCTGCAAGGTCCGCCCCACCTCCGCCCGGTCCCCGCCCAACGGCCCGCCGGCCTCCGGGTGCCGGGCAGCCGCCTCCCGCGCCCTCGGGTACCTGGGTGGGCGTGAGCACTTTGCCCAGCTCGTCGACCTCCGCCCCGGAGTATTTGACCTGCAGCGGGTGCTTCGGGCTCTCGTCCACCTCCTGCAGGCTCAAGGGCCCGGACCACTGGCTGAGGTCCACCGGCATCGCGCGGCCGAGCGGGGACTAGCGGGGAGACGCGGGCGAACCTGGGGGAGGCCAACAGCACCGACTGGAAGCGGTTCCCAAACAGGCCGGAGACCGCGCGAGCCCGCTGCAGGGGGCGCATGCGCAGGAGCCGCCGCCCGCCCCCTCCCCCTCCGTCCCCCCCTCCCCCTTCGCTCTCTGATTGGTGGCGCGGGGCGTCTCGCTCTCGGGTCCGCCGCCGGCTTCGCCCTTCTTTTTGCCCGAAGGGAATCTGCAACCCGCCGTCCCCGAGTTCCCCGGAGCTATGGCTCGGCTTGCGGGATAGTTGCTTCAAGAAATGTAATTGAGCTACCATTGATCGTTTTTCTTTTTTTTCAACCTTTTTGCATGACCTTCTAAATTCAGAAACGTAAGGCCTTGCCTAAAACCAGCCGACTGCCCCGAGCCCCTCGGTAATCTCGCGCATGCGCACTTGTTTTGGTAACCTCCTGGTGGTAGGGCCTGAGCGAACTTTTGAGTATTTTTCTCTATGAGCAAATACATTGTATTGGATTCTCAACCCCCTCCAACTTGGTCCAAACAAAATTCCGGGGAAGTGATATTTTTAAGCCTTTTTAATCCCTATTTTGCTGACATGTGGCTCTCCCTCTACCAGAGCTGCTTTAAGGCCCTTCCAATGGGTCCTCTTGTCCACGTCCCTCCATCCCCCGCCCTCCCCGTAACGACGGGGGTGCTCTCCCTGCCGCTGCCTCCAGTGTTCCTTTCTAGCCGTTCACCTTGCTCGGATGTAGGTCAGGTTCATCTACACCTCATCGCTCCCATTTTCAGAAAGTCCTCCATGGCTCCCCTTTGCCTCAGGTGAAACCCAGACGCCTGTAGATTTCTCCCACCTCTCTCGTATTCTTTTCTCGGATTTGTCTTTCTACCTCTGGGACTTTGCACATGCCGTTCCCTCTCCCTGGAACACTTTGCCCCTCATTCCCCTTTTCCTTCAGTCCTCGTTTTACTCTTATTATAACCCGCTCGCCTTTACTCATCTCGAAGATCACCTCCACCTTCTCCCACCCATCAAGACTGGGAGGTGCTGCTCCCTGTGTCCACCCCTGTTCTGTCCTTTCTCTTTCCTAATATTCAGAGCATTCGGAATTACAAACTTATCATCTGAAACACACCCCTGCCCACCTGAATATAGACTCTCTTGTTCACTGGTCTTACCCCTAGTACTTAAAATGGTGCCTGCCACACTTGATACCTGACAGTATCATCATTATATGAAAATAAGTGACTTTTAAAAACATATGGTCAGTGTTAGGTTCAAAGCTTCGTGTTTGTGTGTGTGTGTGTGTGTGTGTGTGTTGTTGTTGTTGTTTGTTTGTTAAAATATCACATTCAGAAAAAGGCTATTTCGCCTGTTATTCTGAGGTCAACCGCAACCTCCTTATGTTGCAGCAGTTGGAGGAAGCAGAACACCTTTCCCCTCACTGTTTATTTTTAACAGCTTTCATTAAATGCTCATGGGGTAACAGATGCCGTCCTACAAGCTCTGTGTTTAAAAAAGAAAACAACTATTTGGTCAGAAACGATGGTTGCAGATTCATAGAATATGCTCAGAAAGAGATGTTTTAAAACTTGCTTTGAACCATTCTCTGGGACTCAGCACGGAAGCTCATTGGATGTGTAAGAGGCGGGAGCCACTTTATGGGGAGCCTGTGGGGTACAAAGTGCTTACTGTGA